AAACAGCAATCACCTTTATGCCGCTCTGAAACTGAAGTGAAACTTGCAGCCACATCTCCACGGCCTGTGGTTACTGATCTTCCTCCCTCTTCCTCCTCTACAAGCCCCTGCCTCCTGTTGCCTTTTATCTGAATCTTCCAACCAAGTCCTGGGGTTCATTTGGCCTTCGTATCACTAACCCAGAGTTCCTTTCCTATGGAACTGAGGCACTATCTTGGACCTCTGGTGGAAAGTACAATGAGTTTGCACTGGCCACATTAGATAAAGTTTTTCTGATTACAAATAAGAGAAACCAACTCTGACTAGCTGAATTTTTTTTTTTTAAGATAAGCACGTGAGTAGGGGGGCTTGAGAAAAGTGAAATTTTTTAGGAGGATATTAATATACTCTCCCAGAATTTAAAGGGAAAATGAACAACCAAGAGACAATAGAGAATCAGCCTAGTGATTACAACAGCCCTGGGGCTCTCAGTCAGTTGAAGTACATACCTTGGTTCAGCTTGGATCATTTAAAAAATGTACCTCCATCCAGCATTTCTAAAACCAGGTTTCATGTTGAAGGCAAGAAACAATAGTTAACTTCATGTAGTTCAGAAATTGAAGAGCCAGGTGCGGTGGCTCATGCCTGTAATCCTAGTAGGAGGCCTAGGCGGGAGAATTACTTTAGTTCAGGAGTTTGAGATCACCCTGAGCTAATCAGGACCTTGTCTTTACTAAAATTAGAACAATTAGCTGGGTTTCATTGCAGGTTCTTATAGTCCCAGCTACTTGGGAGGCTGAGGCAGGAGGATTGCTTGAGAACCCCGGAGTTTGAGGTTGCTAGGACTTGGGTTGAGGCCATGGCCCTCTAGCCTGGGCAACAGAGCAAGACTGCCTCAAAAAAAAAAAAAAAAAAAGAAGGAAAGAAAGAAAGAGAGAGAGAATGAAAGAAAATGAATTGCAGTTGGTGAAGCTTCTCTGAACTAAATGGATCCCCAGGAAGTTAATCCAATGAGTGTGGCCCAGGTCAGGTATTTTGGGGAAGGTCTGGGGTTTGGTGATGCTATACCACTATGGGGTCTCTCTATGTACTAGGATGGGGCAGTCTCTATAGAAGGGAAGATCATTGTAAACTTAGCAGCCATGCCAAGATGTCTGTGATCAGCTCTCCCTTGGGCAAAAAAGATCCACTAAAGAGATCTGTCTTTTAGGACATCAGTGGAAGTTACCATTTTATAAGTAGTTTCTCATTTTCTTCATCCCACGATTTAGTTTAGCCTCATTCATGGTCTTACCAGTTAAAATCAGTCTATAATCAATTCTGCCCTCCTGGCTGACTCAACACCATTTCCCTTCATTTAGCTTTGTTTCTTAACCTTTACAGGAGATTTTTGAAAGAGAGTTTGGATTCTCCCAATGGAGATTTGAAGAACCGTGCCTAAAGTTGTTGTCCTGTCTTGTTCCAAGATCTCATGGATCTTGGAGGTTGGTTCTTCTCAGGCTTAAGCTGGAATGACTGTAGCATTCATTCATTCATTCATTCACTCACTAATCAAGCCTTCTTTATGTTAGGAACTCTTATCAGGTGGTGGGGTGGGGACACAAAGATACATTTGACACCATATCTGCTCTGAAGAGGCTCACAGGGGTTGGAAATGCACCAAGGGGTGACAGTACCAGAGGCTCAGGCAGCAGTCCCAGCCCAGAGATCCCCACTCTGCAGCACGACTAACCCCTTTTCCCAAGCTTCTCTCCCAGGGACTGATACTGTGGCAGGACGCTGGCCCCCTAAAGATGTCCACATCTCTCCTCAGGCCTGTATATTATGTAACATGATCAGAGGGAATTCATTTTTTTTTTTTTT